TTTTTTTTTTTTTCGACCAGTCACCTTATTTGTTGTTTTTCGGTAGTTGTTCTTTGTGTTTTGCATTGCTTTTATCATCCATTGTACAATGTGTTCAGCGACCTGTTTCTCCAGATGCCGATCAGTTCTGCCAGGTGTTTTTAAATTGGTGAATACAGTTGAATTTGCCGAACGTCGACACTGGTTCTTTCACTGGTGGCGTAGAAAATCATCATCATCATCATCAGGTGCCTTGCCGACTGGCCTGGGCGATCATGCCTCTCCATAATCTGCGATCTCCTGCAGCATGTATCAGTTCGTATGCCGACACACCTCCATGCCATGCAACAAGACTGTCAAGCATCTTCTCTCGTTGTCTTCCTCTGTCTCTCCTTCCACAGATCCTTCCAGTGGTCACAACATGTTCTATTTTCCCTCTTCTCATAACATGGCCGAAAAATGATGACTGTCTCCTTCTGATATCTGTCATAAGTTGTCTTCGGGCTCCCGCCTCTTTCAAAACCTTTTGGTTGCTCTTTTTGGCTGTCCAAGGTATTCTAAGCATTCTTCTGTAAAACCACATCTCAGAGGCCTCCAGAAATTGTTTGGCCTGCCTACCGACTGTCCAAGATTCACAGTCATATGTTAAAACTGGATGTATGTAGCCAGCAAGAATTCTTTTTCTATCTCTCAATGACAAGGATACATTGCATAAGATGTTTTTCATTTTGTAAAATGCAGTTTTTGCCTGTCCTATTCTGTTTCTTATCTCAGTTATGCATCTTCCATCTGATGTTATCCATGTGCCCAGATACTTAAATTTCTGCACTTGTCCTAAAGTAACACCATCAACTTTTATTACACAATTGGGAATAATTCGTTTCTTTGATACCATCATTACTTCTGTCTTCTCATTATTCAAACTGAGGCCCATTTTCCCACTTTCCAACACCACAATGTGCACAGAATTTAAAATATGACGCGAAATCGCACAGGAGTGATTTTTTTTTTTCTCGACCAGTCACCTTATTCGTTGTTTTTCGGTAGTTGTTCTTGGTGTTTTGCATTGCTTTTATCATCCATTGTACAATGTGTTCAGCGACCTGATTCTCCAGATGCCGATCAGTTCTGTCCCATATGCAGCGCTTCAGGTGTTTTTAAATTGGTGAATACAGTTGAATTTGCCGAACGTCGACACTGGTTCTTTTACTGGTGGCGCAGAAATTACGGTAATTTAAAAAAAAAAAAAAAACGGACATGGCTGCATAGTAAATTTGACCGACTGGTTTTGTTGTTGTTTTTGTAGTAATTGATTTTGACCCCTGGCAATGGCACCAGTGTTTCCACTTTAGATGTTTTACATCCAGATTTAGATGTTTCCCCTTGCATTTAGATGGCTTTTTTGCCATCTAGATGGTAGCTGTTTTTCCAAATGTTTTTCATTTGGAGTGAATTTATCAAATCTAACCTAAGAAACAGGATGAAATTTGACCTCTTAAATGCTATCTTGACAATAAAATTCGGCCCGTTCCACTTATCAACTCCCTGATTGGTTATTAAAAGAAACTGGAGCAGCTAAAGCATACCAGAGTCATTTTGGATCTGAAGCTGCAACTTCCTCATCCAAGCTAAGTATTATGTGGATCTTGTAAGGCAGACTTCAATAAAGATGAAGACATGATTCTATAGTGTAAGTCATATCAATTGCTATGTAATGTGTGACTCTTTCCATTTGGATGTTTTTTCTAGATGTTTTCCACGCAAATTTAGATGTTTGTAGATATTTTTAAACTCCGTTTTTAGATATTTTTTTGTCAAAGAAAAGTGGCAACACTGAATGGCACTCAGTAAAACCATCTTAATATCCATTAGAAAGAAGTGTTCGTGTAATCGTTTCAAACTCTATTTGTAGCGTGTCGCCGGAACAAATATTTCTAGCGCGGCTGATTAATGCCCGCCATTGGCCACGCTGTATGGCATGGGTGCAAAACTGTTAAAATGAACGTACTGGTATGCCCACGTGTCGTTGCGATAAACTGCCCTTTCATTTGTGCCATGCTATCATCTCTACTTCTAATTAAAATATGTAAAAAGGCTAAGGCGTTGCTACTTTGACATTGTAGGGACTCTGGGATGTTTTGTGTATTGTGTATGCCGACCACCTTTACTTCCCACGACTTTACCGGGTACAAATTTAAGACTGGATCGACCCTGGAGCTCAATTCGTTTTTGACAAAAGTCTGGCTACGTCAGGATCCAAACACAGACTTTCGGATCCGCAAGGGCTACCATTGGTTAAATGAGGAAGTAAAGCTGAATCCCACTATGGGGGAATAAAGCTGAATCCCACTATGAGGGAGTAAAGCTGAATACCACTATGAGGGAATAAAGTTGAATTCCACTATGAGGGAATAAAGCTGAATCCCACAATGAGGGAGTAAAGCTGAATCTTACTATGAGGGATAAAGCTGGATCCCACTATGAGGGAGTAAAGCTGAATCCAACTATGAAGGAGTAAAGCTAAAACCCACTATGAGGGAGTAAAGCTAAATCTCACTATGAGGGAGTAAAGCTGAATCTCACTATGAAGGTGTAAAGCTGAATCCCACTATGAGGGAGTAAAGCTAAAACCCACTTTGAGGGAGTAAACCTGAATCATACTATGAGGCAGTAAAGCTAAAACCCACTATGAGGGAGTAAAGCTGAATCCCAATATGAGTTAGTAAAGCCGAATCCCACTATGAGGGAGTAAAGCTGAATCTCACTATTAGAGAGTAAAGCTGAATTCCACTATGAGTAAAGCTGAATCTCACTATGCGGGAGTAAAGCTGAATCTCACTATGCGGGAGTAAAGCTGAACCTCACTATGAGGGAGTAAAGCTGAATCTTACTATGAGGGAGTAAAGCTGAATCCCACTATGAGGGAGTAAAGCTGAATCCGACTAGGACCTCACAATAAGCGATGAGTGACACAAAGTGCCACTATTCGGATGAAAATTCCCTGGGTGCAAGTCCCTAAAAACCTGTTCAACCACAAGGTTTTATTAGGACCCCTGACAGTTATAAATTAACCTGAAGATTAGCCGCGATGGGGCTGTATATGTCCCATGTCGGGACGGGCCTTGACTCATTAGAGACATAGCGCCAGACATATTATATAGACCAGTCGGCATTCGGTGTATGTTGTGGTCAGAATCCTGCAGGTTGTAGACCATTATATGTGTATGTGTATATCTATGGATGTATGCATTTATCGTATGTGTGTATGTGATTCAACCCCCAACAGAACCTTACAACAAGTGGTCAATACCGGGTAACGCAAAGTGCCACCATTCGAATGAGGATCACCCGGGTACAAGTCCAAGAAACCACATTCAACCGTTAGGTTTTCTTAGGGTGCCCTTGACTAGGCCGGGGTGGGGATTTCAAGAAACGAAACATTGCGTCCCACACTGGGAGAGAGTTAATATCTGTTAATTTTCTTGTAGTCGTTACTTTTACCCCTAAATTATTGTTCGTTTTGTATATATTTAAACAACTACTGCTGTGTGAGAACTGGGTTTCTTGGAAAGGCCTAATTAAATAAAATTTGTTTTCCTTAGGGAGGAAAAAAATGTTCGTTTATTCGCTTAGTCCATATTGATTACCTAAAATCAATATGTTCAGCAGATGCTTCCCCTTTCCTGCTCTATTTGCATCCATTCATCTACCCCTGATGTGTCAGGTGTCGTGGGTTATAAATGTGATCAGATTGACACCCCGGCATGTGCATGTGCACAGGGGACCACAGAAGCCCAGCAGTTATCACGTTTGTCAGTCAGCCTGGCAGTAATGTGCCCTATCACTCATCGAGGCGTGGGTGTTCAAATTAAAATAATATTAAGAGTAAAACCACTTCTAGTGTCGATTTTACTATAAAAATGTGAACCCCTATGTGGTCTATACACATTCAGGTGTGTGTGTGTGTGTGTGTGCGCGCGCGTATGTGATTGTGTATGTGTGAGTGTGTATGTGTATGTATGTGTGTGTGTGTATGTGTGTTTTCTGTCATTAAACAGAAAAAAAAAAAAATCAACCTATCGACAGAAAAGGTGATCTTGGAACTGGAAAACATATTATCTTGAGCTTTGCAATTGGCTGTTTTGTGTGTGTGTGTGTGTGTGTTTTTGTGTGTGTGTGTGTGTTTGTTTGTTATGTATTTCTATAAATCTGGAAAGATCTTAACATCAAAGAAGATTGGCTAATAAACAGCATCCTGTCTCGGAAGCTGAAATATTTTGGTCATATCAAGCACCACGACAGATTGGAAACAATTATAGCAGAAGGCATGGTACCAGGAAGGAGGGGCAGGGGCCGACCGACACGAAGATGGGCACAGGATATAAGTGACTCCTTGAGTATGAAAGTGCATGAGGCGGGAGAGATGATGAGAGACCGAGTTTCTTTCATGTAGACTGTGAAAAGAGCGACGTTCTGCAAAGGACCTGCTACATGATAATGATTTCTATAAACAGTAAATAATTACATCCGCACCTATAGATACTTTAGTTACATAAACATTTGGTTTACACAATAAACAGCCACCAAACAATGGGTTCCGTTCTGCAAAGGACCTGCTACATGATGATGATTTCTATAAACAGTAAATAATTACATCCGCACCTATAGATACTTTAGTTACATAAACATTTGGTTTACACAATAAACAGCCACAAAACAATGGGTTTCACGATGAACAAGATAATTTCTATAAACAGTAAATAATTACATACGCCCCTTTAAATACTTTAGTTACATAAACATTTGGTTTACACAATAAACAGCCACAAAACAATGGGTTCCGTTCTGCAAAGGACCTGCTACATGATGATGATTTCTATAAACAGTAAATAATTACATCCGCACCTATAAATACTTTAGTTACATAAACATTTGGTTTACACAATAAACAGCCACAAAACAATGGGTTCCACGATGAAAACCCCGACAAGCATCAAATTTCAACTGGCATTTGCAAAATTCTAAGTGTCGTAGCTTTGGTGAAAGAGTAGTGGCTGGACTCCATTGCCATTGTGGTCTGGACTGTCATCGTACCTGGCACTGACCCGCATGCCAGACTGAGGAAACTCAGGCCTGTAAATGAGGAAAACATGGCGTAGTAATATTCGTAGTGTTTACTAGTGATGTACAAGAATAAGTGAGAAACGGCAATCGTATATTAAAAAAAAAAAAAAACTAATTGCGTGTCCTTTACAAGATATTTCAGAACCAACCCCAGTATTGTGTGTGTGTATGTGTGTTGTGTGTGTGTATTTGTGTAGGCACATTTACTTTCACTGGTTTCTGTTGCTTACTGGGCAGTCGGCTCTGGATACCACTGTCGACACAAACGTAATGCGGTCTGCTGCCAAATCGCCTGCAATTGTCATCGAAACCGGCACCCTGAATTTATGACGCACGCTGGCAACGCTTAAGCCACCGACGCCGACACAGTGTATAGTCAACGATAAGCAGTACAGAGATGGTTATAGACCTGATCAGGAACTCTAAGATAAACAGTACAGAGATGGTTATAGACCTGATCAGGAACTCTAAGATAAACAGTACAGAGATGGTTATAGACCTGATCAGGAACTCTAAGATAAACAGTACAGAGATGGTTATAGACCTGATCACGAACTCTAAGATAAACAGTACAGAGATGGTTATAGACCTGATCAGGAACTCTAAGATAAACAGTACAGAGATGGTTATAGACCTGATCAGGAACTCTAAGATAAACAGTACAGAGATGGTTAAAGACCTCATCACGAACTCTAAGATAAACAGTACAGAGATGGTTATAGACCTGATCAGGAACTCTAAGATAAACAGTACAGAGATTGTTAAAGACCTCATCACGAACTCTAAGATAAGCAGTACAGAGATGGTTATAGACCTGATCACGAACTCTAAGATAAACAGTACAGAGATGGTTATAGACCTGATCACGAACTCTAAGATAAACAGTACAGAGATGGTTAAAGACCTGATCACGAACTCTAAGATAAACAGTACAGAGATGGTTAAAGACCTGATCAGGAACTCTAAGATAAACAGTACAGAGATGGTTAAAGACCTGATCACGAACTCTAAGATAAACAGTACAGAGATGGTTATAGACCTGATCACGAACTCTAAGATAAACAGTACAGAGATGGTTATAGACCTCATCACGAACTCTAAGATAAACAGTACAGAGATGGTTATAGACCTGATCACGAACTCTAAGATAAACAGTGCAGAGATGGTTAAAGACCTGATCAGGAACTCTAAGATAAACAGTACAGAGATGGTTATAGACCTGATCACGAACTCTAAGATAAACAGTACAGAGATGGTTAAAGACCTGATCACGAACTCTAAGATAAACAGTACAGAGATGGTTATAGACCTGATCACGAACTCTAAGATAAACAGTACAGAGATGGTTATAGACCTGATCACGAACTCTAAGATAAACAGTACAGAGATGGTTATAGACCTGATCACGAACTCTAAGATAAACAGTACAGAGATGGTTATAGACCTCATCACGAACTCTAAGATAAACAGTACAGAGATGGTTATAGACCTCATCACGAACTCTAAGATAAACAGTACAGAGATGGTTATAGACCTGATCACGAACTCTAAGATAAACAGTAAAGAGATGGTTAAAGACCTGATCAGGAACTCTAAGATAAACAGTACAGAGATGGTTATAGACCTGATCACGAACTCTAAGATAAACAGTACAGAGATGGTTAAAGACCTGATCAGGAACTCTAAGATAAACAGTACAGAGATGGTTATAGACCTGATCACGAACTCTAAGATAAACAGTACAGAGATGGTTATAGACCTGATCACGAACTCTAAGATAAACAGTACAGAGATGGTTATAAACCTGATCACGAACTCTAAGATAAGCAGTACAGAGATGGTTATAGACCTGATCACGAACTCTAAGATAAGCAGTACAGAGATGTTTATAGACCTGATCACGAACTCTAAGATAAACAGTATAGAGATGTTTATAGACCTGATCACAAACTCTAAGATAAACAGTACAGAGATGGTTATAGACCTGATCACAAACTCTAAGATAAGCAGTACAGAGATGGTTATAGACCTGATCACGAACTCTAAGATAAACAGTACAGAGATGGTTATAGACCTGATCACAAACTCTAAGATAAACAGTACAGAGATAGTTATAGACCTGATCACGAACTCTAAGATAAACAGTACAGAGATGGTTAAAGACCTGATCAGGAACTCTAAGATAAACAGTACAGAGATGGTTATAGACCTGATCACGAACTCTAAGATAAACAGTACAGAGATGGTTATAGACCTGATCACGAACTCTAAGATAAACAGTACAGAGATGGTTAAAGACCTGATCAGGAACTCTAAGATAAACAGTACAGAGATGGTTATAGACCTGATCACGAACTCTAAGATAAACAGTACAGAGATGGTTATAGACCTGATCACGAACTCTAAGATAAACAGTACAAAGATGGTTATAGACCTGATCACGAACTCTAAGATAAGCAGTACAGAGATGGTTATAGACCTGATCACGAACTCTAAGATAAACAGTACAGAGATGGTTATAGACCTGATCACGAACTCTAAGATAAGCAGTACAGAGATGGTTATAGACCTGATCACAAACTCTAAGATAAACAGTACAGAGATGGTTATAGACCTGATCACAAACTCTAAGATAAACAGTACAGAGATGGTTATAAACCTGATCACAAACTCTAAGATAGACAGTAAAGAGATGGTTATAGACCTGATCACAAACTCTAAGATAAACAGTACAGAGATGGTTATAAACCTGTTCATGAACTCTAAGATAAACAGTACAGAGATGGTTATAAACCTGATCACAAACTCTAAGATAGACAGTAAAGAGATGGTTATAAACCTGTTCATGAACTCTAAGGCAAACAGTACAGAGATGGTTATAGACCTGATCACGAACTCTAAGATAAACAGTACAGAGATGGTTAGAGACCTGATCACGAACTCTAAGATAAACAGTAAAGATATGGTTATAAACATGACCATGAACTCTAAGATAAACAATACAGAGATGGTTATAGACCTGATCACAAAATCTAAGATAAACATTACCGATATGGGTATAAACTAGGGCTGTACCGAATATTCGCTTCGTATTCGCTTCGGGGCCGAATAGTGGACCTACTAGCTATTCGGTATTCGGCCGAATAGTGGCGGTCGGGCCGAATACGAATAGTGATTTCTGCATACACTGCGATGGACTAAAATAACTCTCTCATTAATAATGTCACAATTTATAGCCGACTTTTCTTGATTTTCGCCGCGGCACCCCTGTCATACGCACCAAGTTTTAGAACCTCTACTGTAATGCCTCGGAGTGAGGCGCTGTTACCACGCAAACGGGTCGCCGTTTTCCCTGCTACGAAAGATTTAGGCATCGCTACTGTTGTGTTAAGAAGGCATGAAGAAACTTGAAAGTGTATCTCTCTGTGTGTGTGTGTGTGTGTGTGTGTGTGTGTGTGAGAGAGAGAGAGAGAGAGAGAGAGAGAGAGAGAGAGAGAGAGAGAGAGAGAGAGAGAGAGACAAAGAGAAAGCAAAGAGATAGAAAAAGACAACGAGAGAAGATTCTTGACAGTCGTTGCATGTCATGGAGGTGTGTCAGCACACAAACTGATACATGCTGCAGGAGATCGCAGACTGTGGCGAGGCAAAATCGCCACACCAGTCGGCGAGGCACCTGATGATGATGATACACTATTCATATTCGTATTCGGCCGAATAGTTGGTCCCACTATTCGTATTCGGCCGAATAGTGAAAACCACTATTCGGTACAGCCCTAGTATAAACCTTATCACAAACTCTAAGATAAACAGTACCAAGATGGTTTTAGACCTTATTACAAACTCTAACATAAACTGTACCGAGATGGTTATATATCTTTTCATAAACTGTAAGATAAACAAGACCGATATGGTTTTAAAAAATATCACAAAGGCAGACTAATACTACACCTTGCATTAATATGTACTTCAGGTTACTATGTAATCGTCTGGGTCCAAGTATGACCTCACGGTTTCTGGGATATGTATCTGGGGGATTCTCATCGGAATACTGACACTTCGTGGCACCAGGTGTTAATCACTCAGTGCGTGTTTCTAGTTGGATACAACTTCACTCATTTAATACAGGTCGTAATACTGTGAGATAAACAGTAAGACATTCCATTTAGAAGGAAAGAAGAGATTTGTAGTCGAAACGAACGACTTTATTACACGCGCTTTAATTTAATTTAGCTCGGCCTCTCTTCAACGAGTGGCACAAAGCACAAACTTCATAGTTCCAGTAAAGATTAAGGGGATCTTTGCAAAAATGGCACTCTTAAACGGAACGTCACAGTACGGATAACGAAGAATCGACCTTTCGAGCGCGAGGCACAGGCCTTGACCACTTTATCAAAAAGACCCCTGAATATTCAGAATATATACAGAAATAACATAATCTCAATGGTTCTGCCCCTCTCCAAGTTAACAATACTCAGTCCATTATAAAATCTTTAAAAAAAAAAGATATTAAAAAAAAAGTTAATAAAACCTAATACTGAATACTACCCACGTTCGCTGTATGAGTCATTTTTTGCCATATCCCTAACGAATGTGTACTTTAAAAAAATTTAAAAAACATGAAATGCCAAGATTGCACTTGCTACTAAAGAAACGTCTGCGCAAAAGAACTCCTGTATAGTGAACGACAACGGAACAAATCTACAGTAATGCCAAGGCTACGCTATAAAGGACCTATGCAAACGCGACCCTATAGATACCAACATTGACATGACAACACTGACTGCAGACTGACTCCTATGGATGTAAACCCCTGTCATAGTTTGCAAGAGGTGAGCTGTAGAGAGAAGACGTCTGAGAGAAACCCAGTATAATAGATATCAAATTTTTTTTTTTAAATGTAGGTAGAGACTACCACTCCCACATTAGACTTTACGGCTCTCCTTTGAATAACGGTCCCAAATGATCTACGCAGAAAATGAACTCAAACGGAGCCTCATTACGTCCTGCCCTACAAACATTTAAAAGGTGTAGCTCGGAAAAAAAAATAAGGAACGAAAAATGTAAGGAAAAGGGCAAAGTCTACTACTTACCGAAAATTAAATCCTTTGTATCTGAAAATTGTGGCACAGAAGTTGCAAATAGAGCGCGAATATTTGTCTTCCTCGCTGTCCGCTATTGCAACTCAGCACGGCTTGTCCGCGATTCTCGTTCCGGGAGAAACATGATCAGCTGTAATGCGCGGTTTAATGTACGCGCATGTCGCCTCGGACAACTTCAAACCAGCAGCCGTCACGATGGCGCTGGTAGTTCCGACAGAAGAAGTAGCTCCTGTAAATTGTTGACTTTTTTCCGGCGACTATAGTGCCACCTCCGAGAGTATCCCCACGCCGCTACGCGCGGCGGGGAAGGGGCTAAACCTGATGGCTAGGACTCACGAGCAAATACATTAAGGGAAGCTGCAGGAGCTGCGGTAGCTGCTGCTCGTGAGTCCTACCCATCTAGTTTAGCCCCTTCCGCGCCGCGCGTAGCGGCCCGGGATACTCTTGGAGGTGGCACTATAGTCGGCGAAAAGCAGTCCGCAACTTACATATAACTGGGGCCCTGTCGTAGGATAGCCCTATCGGAAGTATTCTCGCGTGTCGCTAATTTTTTTCGTCCGTAGTTAATCCTAGTTTTGCCGCCGTGTAATCGCCGTAAAAAAAATCCGTTGCGTTTCGCGAAAATGTCGTGCGCAATTAATCCTACTTTTGGCACGGTTTAATCGAAGCAAAAAAAATTTTTTTTTTATATATGAGTGAGGGTCATTTTCTGCGTAGATCATTTGGGACAGTTATTCAAAGGAGAGCCGACTTTACAAACACAACAGACGCTGTTCCTAAACCTAAAATAATGGGTAAACTTACCCGGCTAGGGACAGAAAAATATTAAATCTAGCAGAAATACTTCAATTGCAGCCAAATACAATTGGCACAAATAAAATAGACCACATTGTAACAAAATGCCGATGGCAGCTTTACTCCCCCACCCCCTTTCTTTCATAACATAGTTCACAAAAACTAGCGGAACAACTTCAAGGTCCCTAGTGACTGGCGGTTGCCTACTGTAATGGCATTTGTTTTTAAAAACTATTGTAGAGAACGAAGGTAGCTCAGTGGGGAGCACCTTTGCTTATCGGTCCGCTGGTTAACTATCAATATATTACTCTAGGTGGTTGGGGAGGGGGCGGATATTGATGATTCAGGCTCAAACGATGACGATATTTCCATTCTATTTATACAGGACAACACAAATATAAAATGTGTATTCTATAGGAGTGACTAATTGGCGATCGGTTCGTAAATTGGCTGGCCGGTCGGAAGAATGATTGGAGTCACGACGTTAATACTGCAAGCGCCCTTTTCAGCGCTACATGGGGGCGAGCAATTTGATGTCGTTAATTGGAGCAAATAAAGAAACCTAAAGCTCCCCTTAGGGAGAAACTGATTAAACATGGTCCGGTCTTTCTTTTTTTGTTTTTTGTAATCATTAAGTCAAGCCAGTCAAGGAATTTACAAAACACACATAAAGTGGTCACTCATTTTAGTTACAAGAGTGCCATATTGCACCAATCATACCCCAAGAAGACTTCGTCAGAATGTGTGCTGTATGCTGGAGGCGGAGGTGGCGGACTTTGTACTTCTGCGGTTGCCGTGGGTACGCGCTTTTGTTGTCTGAAACAGCAGCAATAATTTTTCTTCAGTTTATTCAGTCCCGAGCAGTGCCAGCTGTATGAATTACTCTGCCCTTGATTCAAGTGTGAGGCATATTTTTAAATTTACGCAAAACATACTAAAAAAAAATGTCTACACAAATGGTCATTGCCAATGTCTGTATTGCAAAGTTTAAAGAAATTTACGATTTTTTAACCTCAAATATATACAATGAATATTCCTGTGAGATAAAGGCGTTTGTGTCCTATTTACAAAATCCCTCATCGAGCACCGACTGGTCTAAAACATACAATTACCTGCTTATGTCCAATACGCTTCGTGTTGTGAAAATTTGTTAATTACTAATAATTGTATGTTCTATACAATTCCGAGCAAGTTTAGAAACGGAGTTTCGGTTTTTTTTTCCTTTAAAGGTGAGCAGGGGCCGACCTTCAGGCCAGTTGATGGGGAACAGTGATTATTTCACATGCGTTTTGCAAAGGACTCCGCAAATGATGACGATTTAAAAAAATGCGACCATAAATGCAACAGAGTGTCCTCTTTATCTGATTTCACAACGGTAGAACATTGTGCTAAATTTCTGTAAGGAAGATGTATTTGTTTAAAAAGAAATGCATTAAAATTAAAACTCTTGGCGGGGGAGGGAGAAACTTTAATGACTAGAATCTGTAAGTACTTGTTCTTTGGAAGATAGTTCTAGTGCTTCTTACTGAACCACTGTGTGTGGTTTTCGACTGCTGTATTTGTTTGTGTGTCCTGCCATGATGTCCTCTGCATTTTAACCAGTAGCAACATTTATCTCGGCTTCAGACACTTCTCAACCTGGCCGCTTACTGTGCATCTTTCGGTTTCGCATGCATGCACCCGTACCAGGTAATAAGAGAGTGTCTCACCCCTTTAATCAGGTATTTGACAAATTTTGCTTATTTAAGAAAGCTTTCCATCCTGCAAAAAGCTTTCATTTTTAAAAATCTCTGCATGACATTTGCTCCTCTGTTTTATGGCTGTTCCATGAGAATTCTAGAAAATCATATGTTCAAGAAGGCTCCAGTTTACTTGGATATTAGACTGGTAAATAAATACATCTTTGCAAACAAAAACGCAAGATTTATGCGAATTGCCACACCCTAATAAGGTGGTGCGAAAAGGAGAGACGTGAGTTTCACGTGAATTATTGCAAATATTATATTACCATGTATGTACCACACAAGCCAAAGTGCAGTAAAAACACAAGAAGGCATATCAGATATGTTCAGTCAACACAGGTGTGAGACAGGGATGTGTGCTCTCCCCACTTTTATTTAACATCTATATAGACAAAACATCTAAAGAAGCAAGTTATGATACAGACAACATAGACCTTTATAATCACGAGGAAGTACACACATCAGGAGAAGTAATCGATTCACCTACGTTAAACGAACTACTGTTTGCTGACGACCAGTGCTTGTTCTACCCTGAAGAACATAGACTGCAAGACCACATTAACAGGTTAAACTCAGCATGTAGTAAATACAACATGAAGATCAATGTAAACAAAACCGAAACAATGCAAGTTAGTAGACATTCTGCCCCACTACACATACAGCTGAATGGTTCTGATCTGAATCAAGTTAGAGAGTTTAAATATCTAGGAAGTATGATCACAGAAGATGGTAGAATTGACAGAGAAATAGAAACCAGATGTCAGAAAGCAAGTGCACTTATATACCAATTGTCACTATTATTAAGACATTCAAGCATAACTATGTGTGCAAAGAGGCAGATTATTAATAGCATATTTATTCCAACATTAAGCTACCAGTGCCAAACATGGACACTATCTAAAGCCCATAGACGCAAAATTACCACCTGCGAGATGAGGTGCCTGAGAAAAGCAGCTAACCTAACCATACGAGAGATCGAGTGAATAATGAAACTATCAGGCAAATTGTAGGAACGACACCTTGTACTAGATTCATCGAGAAACAGCAGATCAAGTGGTTTGGCCATCTCGTTAGAATGCAGCAAGATCAAATACCATCACAAGCACTACATCTCAGAAGACCAACTACAAGAGCCAGAGGACGGCGGCGGAAAACATAGATCGACAACATTAAAGATACTCTACGCCTTCACTGCATGACAATAGCCAGTGGCAGCCAACGTGCACTGGAACGCAAATTATTCCTCCCCACGACGCTTAACGGCAGAAGTGGTTTATGATGATGATGATGATTATATTATCATGTTATAATGAACCCATTGAAGATGCAAACAGCGGGAAATGCAGAGTGAGAAGCAACAACAACATTTAAAAGCTGTTTAAATGACCACTGATCATTGGTATCATAGAGTTAAATGGCTGGGCATACTGAGAGAATGTCACATCACAGAGAGGTATAAACTTTGTTCATAAGGGAGCTGAATGGTTGTAGACCACGAGGCAAACTAAGAAAACGATGGGGTGATAATATTCAGACAGACCAACAAACACCTAGTGTCACCAACTGGAAAAAGAAGGCCAAACAGAGAGATGAATAGGCCGGGTGAAATCTGCAGCAATGAACAGCAAGGGCTCGGAATGCTGGATAAGAAAACAATCATAATAAATATGATTTCCTATATAATTGTTCCAAAAAGGTTAATTTTTTTCAACAGGCTTATTCAATTTGAAAAGGAAGGAAGTGAGGAAAGAAAGAAAGAAAGAAAGAAAAAGAAAGAAAAGAAAGAAAGAAAGAAAGAAAGAAAGAAAGAAAGAAAGGAAAAGAAAGAAAAGAAAGAAAGAAAGAAAGAAAGAAAGAAAAGAAAGAGAAAAGAAAAGAAAAAGAAAGAGAAAAAAAAAAGAAAGAAAAAAAAAGAAAGAAAGAAAGGAAAGAAGAAAGGAAGAAAGGAAGGAAGGAAGGAAGGAAGGAAAGGAAAGGAAGGAAGGAAGGAAGGAAGGAAGGAGGAAGGAAGGAAGGAAGGAAGGAAGGAAGGAAGGAAGGAAGGAAGGAAGGAAGGAAGAAGGAAGGAAGGAAGGAAGGAAGGAAGGAAGGAAGGAAGGAAGGAAGGAAGGAAGGAAGGAAGGAAGGAAGGAAGGAAGGAAGGAAGGAAGGAAGGAAGGAAGGAAGGAAGGAAGGAAGGAAGACAGAAAAGAAAGAAAGAAAGAATAAAAGAAAGAAAAACACTCACCCTCTGAAAGAGTCTTCAAGGTCCACAGAATATGGAGGCGGGGGCCCAGATTCACTTTGGTCAAGTATTCTGCCGCGGAGGTGCCTTTGAACATGGGGAAACAACAGACAGAAACTGTCAAGAAACACGCATATAAATCACTTAGAAACCCGTGAATCCAATAACTATTATGTTATAAAATTACCTTTTCGAAGTTTTCGTCCTCTAAACCAATGTTCCTTTGATTTTTCACATAAAAATATCACATACAGATAATCGGAGGTAGCAGACGCATTTGCAGATATATCTCATTAAACCTTGCCAGGACAGTACAACGAGCTACCAACATCCGGTAACACAAAGTGCCACCATTTGAATGAGAATCACCCGCGTAGTAGTCCCAAAAATCCCGTTCAACCGTTAGATTATATTAGGGCCTCTGACTACAGCCTGGTGGGGCTTTAAAATAACCAACAAGTGAGCCCTACACTGGGACGGAATCGATTAATATCCCAATATTTGCAGATTGCATTTTGTATATAATTATAATATGTAGTGTATTCACGGTATATGCAACTATAACAAGTAAAACACCACCCCTTTCCAGGTTTGAAATATATTTGTGTCTAGTGTCTCCTAATTTTCACAATGTTGTGTCTCCTGCCATGCTCAATGAATGTTCTGCTTTTGATTTCCTAACGAGAACATAGATGCTTAATTAATGTGTGCAAATTATCCTATTCTTTGTCGCAAGTGCAGTTCACCCTATGCCCCATCCCCCTCGACTTCGTAGGAAGCTCCCAGTTAGTCGACTCTTACGACAGACTTTTGGTTAGGCATTGGGTCTATTCTTGTTTTCCCTATATTAGGGCCCCGGAACCCACACAGGGAGCAAACAATATGATACATACTTAGACGCACACTCGCACACAGTTACACACTTACACACACACACAGACTTACACTGTAGTCGGTTTACCTTTGTAGTGTCCCGGGAGCCGAACTACTCGAATCCCTGGGCCTGTGGGGCCGTCTTTGAGACCTGTCCAGTGTCATGGAGCTAGCTCTGCTGCCCATAATTGGCGTTTCCCGATTTTGCGACATCAAACGCAAATTGGCAGTGGCTCGGCGTATGGAGTTGTAGTTCTCCATCTGTATATCGCTGTGGTAAAATTAATTAGAAGGAAGTGAGTAGATAAAATACCCATTTAACACATATGCTTTAAAGAGCCCAGAGTCATCATCTGAGCATGTTCTTTACAGAGCGTCGCTCTCGTTACGGTGCACATGAAAGTCGCTGTTTTCTCTAGCCAATTCTCCAGCCCTATATGCTTTCAAAGCAAGTCCGTCTTAAATGTCCCTCTGCCTCGTTTTCGGCTAGCTGTACCTTCCATTACAGTTCTGGCCAGGCCACCATGATGTTTTGACACGGCCCTTATACCTAAGCTTTCTTCTCAGAACACATTAAAAAAAAAAAAAAACAAGCAACTATGTCAACACCATATAGACTGCATTTTCTTCTCAAGTCAAATTCTGGTACCAATTCTAAGTTGACATGGAAGCCGTGTTCTGATATACATAAGTAAATCACCGACATTCAGATGATAAGTAAAAAAAAGATGGGAAATTGGATAAAGAAATTAACATTAGATGCAGTAAAGTAAACCAAGTAGTGGGACAGCTAGCCCCCCTCTTACAGCATATGAAAATAACAATCAGCACAAAGAGACATCTTATTCAAAGCATATTTATTCCAACTCTGTGCTACCAGTGCCAGACATGGTCACTCACAACACACAAAAAAAGAAAATTAGTAACCATGGAAATGAGATGTCTGAGAAGGGCTGTAAGAGTGACCATAAGAGATAAGATCAGGAATGAGATCATAAGAGAAAAAGTCGGCACAGAACCAATTCTAAATCACATACGAAGACAGCAAGTGAAATGGTTTGCCCACTTAGAGAGAATGCCTTGTGACACCATACCATACAAAGCATACATGGAAAGAGAAGAAGGACATAGAGCACGAGGTAGACCAAGAACAATATGGAAGGATAACATCGGAGAAACTCTACAACAGCACGATGTACCTATGGTCGAGGCGGTCAGAAGAGCTAGAAACAGGACCTTATATCTCCCTCGACACCCACAGCGGTAAAAGAGGAAGTGAAGAAGAAGAAGAAGAAGAAGAAGAAGAAGAAGAAGAAAAGAAGAAGAAGAAGAAGAAGAAGAAGAAGAAGAAGAAGAAGAAGAAGAAGAAGAAGAAGAAGAAGAAGAAGAAGAAGAAGAAGAGAGAAGAAGAAGAAGAAGAAGAAGAAGAAGAAGAAGAAGAAGAAGAAGAAGAAGAAGAAGAAGAAGAAGAAGAAGAAGAAGAAGAAGAAGAAGAAGAAGAAGAAGAAGAAGAAGAAGAAGAAGAAGAAGAAGAAGAAGAAGAAGAAGAAGAAGAAGAAGAAGAAGAAGAAGAAGAAGAAGAAAGAAGAAGAAGAAGAAGGAAGAAGAAGAAGAAGAAGAAGAAGAAGAAGAAGAAGAAGAAGAAGAAGAAGAAGAAGAAGAAGAAGAAGAAGAAGAAGAAGAAGAAGAAAGAAGAAGAAGAAGAAGAAGAAGAAGAAGAAGAAGAAGAAGAAGAAGAAGAAGAAGAAGAAGAAGAAGAAGAAGAAGAAGAAGAAGAAGAAGAAGAAGAAGAAGAAGAAGAAGAAGAAGAAGAAGAAGAAGAAGAAGAAGAAGAAGAAGAAGAAGAAGAAGAAGAAGAAGAAGAAGAAGAAGAAGAAGAAGAAGAAGAAGAAGAAGAAGAAGAAGAAGAAGAAGAAGAAGAAGAAGAAGAAGAAGAAGAAGAGAAGAAGAAGAAGAAGGAAGAAGAAGAAGAAGAAGAAGAAGAAGAAGAAGAAGAAGAAGAAGAAGAAGAAGAAGAAGAAGAAGAAGAAGAAGAAGAAGAAGAAGAAGAAGAAGAAGAAGAAGTAAAATAAATATTTGGAATTGTTTTATAGACGAATGATATAATACCCCGGACACACAAAAAGCGTAATGAAAACGTCATGAAAGTAATTGATTCGCGCAGAAAACTGACTGCCGAAATGAGGAGACAATTCATTTTATTTGGTCATGTCATGAACAGAAGAAAACTGGAGTACGCCGTAACCGAGGGAAAGCTGGATGGGAAGAGAGGCAGAGGGAGACAGAGAGAGAAGATGCTGGAATGTCTGAAATCGTTGCATGGAAAAATCATCTGTGTCAGAAATGACTGAAAGTAAACGAGACAGAAGGTTGTGGAAAGATATGATTACCAGTGCCAAACAGCACGTTCTATAAGTAGAAGAGTTCCTATTCAGACTTTAAACGAGTAAAAGAACGTAACGTGTAGCAAACAAACAATTCAATGCATTTTTAAAATTTTTCTTTATTAGGACGAGTCGGCTCTATGGCTAAGTCGATGCGAAAGCTTCGTAATGCCGGGATGCCGGGTTCGATACCAGCTGCGGGCCATGCGCCTTGCGTTGGTTTCGACAGTAGTATCAAGAAAGCCGACCGTCCAGTAAGCAATGGCAAACTACTGGAGGTAAATTTACCTAGAGAAACACACAACAGCCAGGGGCTGTTAGGGTTGGTTCTGCAACGTCCGGTAAAGGATACGCAACTAACCTTTATTAGGACGAAGACATTGGATAGAATAAATCGGGAAAATTTTTCAAACATTAGACAGACAAGAGGGTGTTGGATAAAGTGTGAACATTTTACCACAAATGTCAGAGCCGGGTAAGAAAGATGATGAACTCGTCGATAATTTTAAAATAACGTAAGGGCAGTGTGCTTTCTCTTCTAATGTGTAGTATATTACTGAGTAAAATAAACGCAACAACATGAGCAGGTAACTGCAACTGTGACGTTGGTTGAAACATTGAATAATATCAACATAACCTGAAGGAATCACGCTTTGTGCGTGACTTAAGTGTAATATCTCGTTAACCACTATCTACTTAGGGTTGAATTAAATAATTGATCTCGCAGTCTAGGACTGACGTTCAAACACTTAACAGAGTGGTAATTTTACATCACGGGGCGCTGTTTTAGGATAATATCAACACCGTAAAATGAGTGCAAGCAAATTGTTCTCATTTTTTTTTGGGGGGGGGGGGGGAGGGCTGTTTTAATCTTCTTTCTACTGAAGAGCCTAAGTGAGTAAGCTGTTACGTCAAGTCTACAAACTGCGTGTTTTTTGGGTTAACAATTGCTTGTAGAACTGACATAGCATCAGTCAGAAAGAACACTCTTCTATATTTGTTGTGCTGTTGTCCATTCAGGAAAGAGCACGCTACCAGGAGTGCATCTGCCTTTGCTCTGTAATTTGAGGAATATGAAACTGTTGGTAAAGCTTGGTTACTTTTAAACCATTTGGGCTTCTTCTTCTTCTTCTTCACTTCCTATTTTACCGCTGTGGGTGTCGAGGGAGATATAAGGTTCTGTTTCCAGCTCTTCTGGCCGCCTCGACCATAGGCACATCGTGCTGTTGTAGAGTTTCTCTGATGTTATCCTTCCATCTTGTTCTTGGTCTACACCGTGCTCTACGTCCTTCTTCTCTTTCCATGTATGCTTTGTATGGTATGGTGTCACAAGGCATTCTCTCTAAGTGGGCAAACCATTTCGCTTGCTGTCTTTGTATGTAATCCAGAATTGGTTCTGTGCCGACTTGTTCTCTTATGATCTCATTCCTGATCTTATCTCTTATGGTCACTCCTACAGCCCTTCTCAGACATCTCATTTCCGTGGTTAATAATTTTCTTTTATGGTTTGCTGTGAGTGACCATGTCTGGCACTGGTAGCACAGAGTTGGAATAAATATGCTCTGAACCATTTGGGCATTCTATGTAAATGCCTCCTCTTCCTCTCTTTCTGCTCTCTTGGCTGAACCATCTGTTTACACTCTAATCCAACTCTGGTATGGATTAAGTCTGTTGATCTCTCCTTCTGTAATTAACATCATATCAGTGCTGCTAATTGATGATTTGGAAGAGATCCCTGTTATAGTGGTTCTGACTTGGCAGGTTATCCCTAAGCCAAAGGGGAAAGGAGGAAGGAGGAGGGGACAATGGTTAAAAGGTTTCAGTAGAACATTTGGTATTTTAGGAGGGAGTTTGAGGTCAGCGAGCTTGTCATTTGCGTTCTTAATGAAAAATGTTCTCGTCAGTCTAGCTAGTGGGGTTTCTGCATTTGGCTGTGCATGGGTCGTTCTTTCAAATGGTGGTATTTGGAGAGCTGGACGAGGAGCTTTGCGTTTTTCCTGTCTTCCAGAGCATGGAGACAGTTATTGTTTCCATGCCTGATATAGACGTGGAGCGCATGACCCCTCTCATATAACAGAGAGCATGGTTTTGAATCTTTGAGACTTTCGGAAAATTTGATTTAGCTGCTGGGCCCCAAGCATCTTTCACATATTCTAGTGTTGGGCTCACTTAGCCTGTATAGGTCCTCTTGAAGACAGTAAGTCTTTCCCCCATTCTGTTCCACCTAACATCCTTATCAGCTGAGTTCTATTGAGTCCCTTGCTTTGATTATTTTCTTTCTGTTTTCTCCATGTGAGTCTTGGGTCAAAGGTTACGCCTAAATGCGATGGGGAGTCATCATGTTTCAGTGTCTGAATGCCATTCGATAGTTGAATCCGCTGGCCTTGTACTGGATACACATTGAAACATCTGAGAACAACATGACTAGAATGTCTTTACATTTATAACCCATTAAAAAAAAGTAATTGACCCTTTTCCACCCCTTTAGGCGGTAAGGGCATATAGGGCTAGACCTATATTTTTATAGGCCAATCGGCACAAGATGGGTGATGTGGTCATTATCACGCTGGCCGCATCTACTTCCCGGGACTGCACCCGGTACCCACTCAAGGCTGTGTCGACCTGGGAGCTAAGGTCATTTTTGAAAAAAGTCCGGCTCCTCCAGGAAGCGAACCCACGACCTTCGGATCCGCGGCGAGCGTCTAGCCGCTCCACCACGGAGACTCCCATTAGAAACCATAGGGCCATAGAATTAAAGGCAGACACAAAGAGAATTGGCGGGGTGGGGGGATGGAGTTGGGCAGCACAAGGAGTGATCAGCAAGCGATAGCAAATTATAGAACGACTTCATGTGAGCTGGTTGATGACATATGCTCCATTGGAAGATTAAATAGAACAAGAAGAGGATATTATGAGGTCATCAATATACAAAATACCCCACATGAACTTTAGAATATAAACTACAAAGAAAATAAAAAGGTTGACACACAGAACTCACTTGGTTTGTGTTTGCAGCGAGGAATACTTTCTGCATTTACTGGGGGGAAAAAAGGATTAATTGTTAGAAAAGTTTTAATTTTGTAAACATTTGCAGCATAGAAGTTCCGTAAGAGTTTTCTTTTCTGGCCATGTATCTTATCCGCATGGCAGCATGTGCAATGACAGATATCTACTGGTTCTGCAGTGTGCACAATAATAAGTTTGCTTATGATCTGCATTATGTACAACAACAAGCGTTGTCGCACACTTACTGGTATCTTTTTGTTGTTGCAGAATGTACAATGACATGTGATTTATCACAAAAATATGTGTTTTTCTAGTGCTGATGAATCTACAATAATGGGCATATTTTTTATGCTGAAGAATCAACATGTATTTTTTTTCACAATAACAGGTATCTTTCAGGTGCTACCGAATCTAAGAGAAAAATTGTTTTATCCCAATAATATCATTTTGGTGGTGCATAATCTACAATAACATGTGTTTTATCACAATAACATGTATCTTTTTGGTGCTTTAAAATGTACAGTAACAGGTGTTTCCTCGCAACAACATGTATCCTTGTAGTGCTGCAGAATGTACAATAACATGTGTTTTATCACAATAACATGTATCATGCTGGTGCTGCAGAATAGTCAATATCATGTGTTTTACCTCATAACATGTATCATTGTGGTGCTGCAGAATGTTCAATAACATGTATCTTTTTGGTGCTGCAGAATGTACAATAACATGTATCATTTTGGTGCTGCAGAATGTACAATAACATGTATCTTTTTGGTGCTGCAGAATGTTCAATAACATGTATCATTTTGGTGCTGCAGAATGTTCAATAACATGTATCTTTTTGGTGCTGCAGAATGTACAATAACATGTATCATTTTGGTGCTGCAGAATGTTCAATAACATGTATCTTTTTGGTGCTGCAGAATGTTCAATAACATGTATCTTTTTGGTGTTGCAGAATGAACAATAACATGTATCATTTTGGTGCTGTAGAATGAACAAATACAGTTCTGAAGATTCAAGTTTCTGGTGCGTAGATTACAATATAACAGTGTATTAAGCCAGTAACTCACCAGGACTTGGAGCTACACATCATTATCACTGCCAGCAACATGAGGAGCAGAAGGACCACGACCGCTGGTACAATAACGCTAACAACAAACTCTGGGAACAGATTAGTGCATCTGTCACCGCGACAGGAGTATGACTCTGGGGGGTTGTACAGCTCAATAATGTCCTGCTCTGAAGCCATAACACGACAGCCAGACTTCGGACGCTCTGTTCTGAAAGTTATCGTATTGTTTAAGACGTGATTACAAGTCAATTAGTCTTCAGCAACATCGGAATAAAAAAAATTAGCTTAACTCTTTTGGAGCGTGTTATAAAAATTAGTTCGGCTCTGAGAATTTATTACTTCAACTTATTAACATTTGAGTCTTTATTATAAAAATAAAGCACCGTGAAACATGATGAGTTAAAGTAAGAGTTGGGTCAAAGTGGGTGAGTGTAAGAACTGGATGAGTCTCAGTGAATTCGGAAAAGTAGACCAAGTCAGTTGAAACTAAGCAACTCATGGTGAGTTGGTTGTTGCTGAATATTGACTTATGAATAATGAGTATTGTAATCTGCAGGTTACAGATTTAGTTTCTAATTCCGCACTTAATTTCGTGAGAGCAGATTTTTCGTTTTCAGGCTGTCGTCGCTGGAGTTATGTATATGTGTATATTATTAAGCCAGTTGTCACTTGATGGTTGAAATCCACATCGCAGCGGCCGCCTTTCTTTTTCTTCTTCTTTCTTCTATCCCCCAATGGAGCATAGGCCCTCAATCAACTCAAAACAAGTTGTTCTAACCTTAGCTATTGCCTGCAGCTCACTGCCTGTCCTCTCCATCTTCACGCTTCATTAGCTATGAAATTTCCTAGTGCCCCAGGCTGGATGAACAAAACTATTATTGAATATTTTCCCTACACCACTGAGGAAGAGGGTGGTCTATTTTCTTGTTTTTAATTTTATAAGTAAAGTACAGCAGGGGAAGATCGAGGTCTGGCGTCATGAGACAGGTCGGCCCACCTTAGAAGATTGTCTAGAAACTAATGGGCTGAAGCAATCGTCGATGGGGGATCTTTCTACTGATGATCGATGGACCCTTGCTGTACATGCTCCCTGTAGATTTCTTATTATTATTATCTCTCCATGATTGCTACCTGAAGGTTTGACTCTATATTTCGGATGCAAAACTAACGTGGAACCAGTCCCATATATAGAAGTTATCTTTTTTTTTTTTTTTTTTTTTTTTTGGTCCATACATTTCCTATTTTAAATATATCGTTGCATTTATTTACCTCAGCCACATTATAATTATATTAATTACTTTTATTAATCCCATAAACAAGGTTCATGGCCCATGATTTCCCTCCTTAAAAAGTTGTGAGGGGTCTGAGGCCCCTCTCCCCAATATTTTCTTTTACTCGGTGAACCCCTCTTTTTCAAGACCTCAGAGCTTTCAACGGCACATCTAATTGTCTTTTGAAGATATCAAAACTTTCATCAACACAATCTACCTGTATTTTCAAGACCTAAAATGTTTCAGTAACACAATCTATGAGACTTTTCAAGACCTCAAAACTTTCAACAACACAGTCTACCTGTATTTTCAAGACCTAAAATATTTCAATAACACAATCTGTGTGACTTTTTAAGACCTCAAAACTTTCAACAACACAGTCTACTGGTCTTTTGAAAACCTCAGAACTTTCAGCAATAATAAATTTTGTGTTGCTAATTAGAACTGTTTCTTAAACTTTCTTGTCAAGCTCCTAATTTCCTATTGGTTAAACTATCTTAAATAACGTTGGCCATTTTCATGCCACTGTGTGGGTTACGTTTTAGGAAGCAATGTTGAAAATCTAAGTAGCAGACGAGTTAAAAGTTTTACACGCCGACTAATTACATTACCTCTTTTCTCCGGTGATACTAACAATAACACACGCATTTAAATCCGAGCACACGCATGTGTCAATTTCTTGTAAAGTCCTAGATATGTAGTCGGCATATGCGTGTGTGTTTGTGCCTGCACGCGTGTATATGTATATCTAAGTGTGAGCAGTCAGCAGTGAAACGAAGGAAGCAGTAAAGTTCCAGGAGTCCTGGAAGCTCCAGAGATTCAGTCCGTACATACGCGTGCAAGCTAAAAATAGAACGTGTGCTAAAACTGTTCTTTGGGCCAGCGAGTTGTTTATCAGATAGCAGAAATAGGCGCCCGTGAGGAACTGATAACATCTGCCGCAATGGTTTTGTTTGGTCAAATAAACACAAGGCTTTTGTGAATGTAAATGGCTAAATACATGGGAAGAATGGCGAGGTGAATGAAATACACACAAACAACAAGACGGAGCTCAGTGAATAAAGAATGTTGAATTAAGAATCGACATCAAAGCACTCGGGACACCCCTATAAGCGCTCCGTCCCCATCCTAAGCTGCAAAACAAAGAGTTCTAATTCCGATGTCACCGGCAACTGTCTGACTTTATATCCGTCTCGCCCTTCCCCTGAGTATTGAGCGTCAGTAACTCCTCGCAACGTCATTCTCCTCAGACCGTAATGATCAATTTGCGCTTGCGCACTGTTCACTCGCTTCCAGAGAGTCCCCACAACGTCTAGCTTGTCATATATCAATTCACCACCAAGTGGTACAGAATCGACCAGTCTATCTACCTGCTTATTAGCCAAGACACCGGCATGACCTGGAGAGAATATCCAAAGGATACGAACTACCCCAGACCTCTGAAGTGATGCTTGCCACTCTGCACGTAGCAAACCTATCTCCACCTTTCTCAACATGCTTTGTGAGTAAGTGACAATCACCGCATGTGTGTACAGCTGATTCTCAAGCCAGCGGAAGGCAGCAGAGACTGCCTCCACCTCCATTCTCAAACTAGACGTTGTGACATCATATGCTCAGTGAAGAGAATTCAGACAATCAATTGGGTTCCGTCTCCAACATGAAGGTTGGCAACAGTGGATCTCGAAAACATTTTGTCTCTCGTCTCTTGTTTTTACATTCCCTGAAACTGCTGGTCCCCTTTATCTTGATGTTATCAACCCTTTTGTGTTCCGTATTGCTATGCGATCAGGTGTTTAGTTAATATCCTACCCCAAACAGGGGAAATCCACAGGTCACGGGACAGTTTAATATTTCAGTGGGTGGTAGATCGGCTGCGTGCAGTCGTGGGACCTAGGCTGCACTCTCACGTGGGACGTAAGTGGGTTGGAGTTAGGGCCAGTTCTAGATGTTTTGGGGTCGTTAAAAACACCAGAAAGCCGGGAAACCCAGTCTTACCACCCTCAGAGTTGAGTTGAGTTGACTTGAGTACCATGTCTTCGGCTATAATTTTATTTTTCCGTGGCGCTCCTAGTTCTTCTTCTGCCCTGTATCTCCCTGCATCATAGGCCTTCAACCCAACCCACGCTAAGTCGTTCTGGCCTTCGCTATTGCATGCAGCTCGTGTCCTCCCCATCTTTTTGACTTAAATCTCCAGCTCCTTTTCCAGTTTTTTTTTTTTTTTTTTTTGGTCCGCCTTTATTTACATGTTCCTGTGGGTTCTAGTGCAAAGAAATTTTGGTTATATTGTTCTCAGGTTTTCTATCAGTCCTTTCCCATGCCAGCGTCTTTTTCTCACGTAGTGTTCAAGTGGAACTTGTTTAGTTCTTTCCCAAAGCTCGACATTAGTGTTTCTATCATACCATCTAATTCCCTCTATTCTGCGCAGGTACAAGTAAAGTGTTCATTTTTTAAAAGCAGTTTTAATTGTTTTTTTTTTTCCTGTACACATTTCCTAGTGCTTTGAAAGATCCTTTTTTCCTTTTGTTTTCGCGTTTTAACATCTCTATCAGTTCCTCTATCTTTATCAACATTGCTTTCAAATAAGTGTATAACTTCACATCCTGAAGTGGAATACATTAAGAGAAATTATATAACTTTTTTGCCAGATATATTCTTATTATCTCTGTGAGTTATGAGTTAGATTATCTTCACAGCACTCAGGACACATCCATAGACGCTAAGATTTCCCTCTCAACATATTCATCAGCGTCGTGCGGTTAATTGTACCAGCCCTATGTTGGTTAACAAGACTTCGTGTGCGTCCAGTGTGCTTCTCATGCTTGGCTGTGCCGATCTTTACTCCCAATACGTGTATTTTTAGCAAAGATGTGGACACGTTGCTTCCAAAATCCTCAGAACGTCCTATCTCTCTAAGGGCAATGACAATGTCTGCGTGATCCATGGAGCGGTCATCTTCAGTTAATGCAGCACCTGCCACTCTATCAGCTCTCTCATTACCAACAACGCCTACATACCCTGGGACGAATATGAAGGTAACTGCACACACAGGAGAATTTTGCAACGACTCAAGCCACTGTCTGCGTAACCAGCCAGCCTCGACCCACCGGATCATGCTCAAAGAATCACTCAGCACAGACAGGCGGGAATAGTCCTGTGATCCCAGCCACATGAAAGCCTGTGTCACTGTTCTGCCTGAAGAGCGAGCTGAAAATGCCCATGCACTCTTAAGTCCTCGAATAACGGACCCGTCTGTGAAGATCACCACATCTGTCTCATCTGACTTGTCACTGATAAGCGCGCATACCTCGGCATTGACAGCAGTTGCATTCTGCTCCCAACAACACCTATCGAGCGTCACGACACAGGAGAATGTGAGATTGGGCGCTTTAGACGCTGGTATCTACTCACCTGGATGGGTGTCTGTAAGGCTGCATGATGTCATACTCTGCCATACCCAGTCATGATTTGCCCCTTTTTCTTGAAGAGCATGTGGTGCAAAGAACAGATAATTATCTCTGTCCTTGCTGTGGCGTCTGGTATGGTCTAAATATTTGAGTTTCGGAAACAATATACTGTTTAAGGTCAATATTCCTTGTCGATCAGATGTTTTAAGATGTCGTCTCCTCATTGTGTGCCTGATATGTCGCTACAAAGGGGTTGTCCAAACATTCCTATAATTTCTTGCCCTTTCTCGAATTTATCCCACCTAAAAATGGGTCACCGCAGGGTTGCCAGACAAAAAACTTCATTTTATGCCAAACCATCACCCAAAATATGCCAGAAAATTGCCAAATAAAGTGTAACATTGCACTCACTTCACATAAAAAGCTCTAGATTGAATTCTTCACGGTCATCCTCACTGGAACCAGTGGAAGATGCAGCATAAACCTTTTCAGATGTAAAATC